CTGTAGTGATCTACTTTTATCAAGAGAACGCGTTTGGTTTAATGGAAACAATCATTATTATAACCAATTGTACCAGTGATTGTTTTACTGTGCTTGTTTGTAAAACTGTACTAAAGACATCCATTACTCCTCCATTATTCTTCCGTTGACTGTGACCTTGTACGCTCGCACGTTCGCCCATTGATTCCACTTGTATTTCCTTTAGCACGATCTTGATATACTTTCGATACCACGAGGTCGCCAACGAATAAATCTGGTTACAATCTCCTTTCGCCTTCTGATTTTCTGGTACGCGCTCATGTTTTAGTGATGATCATAGTCAACCTCGACTCGACGCCACACTACAAATCTTCTGAGGTTTTTATTGATGCAGAATTGGTTCGGTGACACCCATATGGCATTTGTGCTTGTGGAAGAAAACGGTGCCACCTATGAAAATGTTGTTTAAAGCATACAAATCTCCCGGTTTCCCTCCTTTATCTTTTTTATTCTGTTCAAATCATCACACAATTCTTTTATATGCAATGTCGCGGGTAAAGTATTCACGTCCAAAACAAGAATGAAACACAGTGTTACTGACTATTCGTAAATGCCAAACCAGAAATAATGGACGAAAAATGATACAGGAATCTGTTTACTCATAAATTATGGCAACAATATAAGCTCTCTTCGTGCTTCTTCAGACAACACTTGTAAAAATTATCGTATTTAGATGGAGCATTTTTCCCTTCGTGATCAGAATGCGGCAGTAAATCTCCTAAAACTAGTCTTTTCTGTTTAGCTTGCGTCCATGGGTCTCATGTATACCACTGTCAGGTTGTGCCTTCGTGCTTCTACCGCTATCCAAGTCGTCTTTCTGGCCTCCTATATTATCCAGGATCTCTAAACACCTTCGTTATTTGCTGCTATGAATTAGAATTCCAAGGAATCGTGGGTTTCATCACGAGGTATCATAAATGTCCTTCATGAAGACCATTCAGATGCTAGAGCAGTGTAAAAAAGAATCATTTAGTTTGTTTGGGTTTGTGTTTTCCAGCGAGATTTCCCATGGGATTAAGTCTGCCAAACCCTGCCTGAAGCACTTCCAGAGTTACTGCTAGTCTCAATCCTGAATAAAGGAGGGTTGTGCATGGGGTCATTAACCCCATCTCATAGAAAACAACCTTGCTAAAAAAACTAATCACAAAAACAGACCAAATCATGTAAAGTCTACTCTCCGGGTTGAGGGGTCTTCATTTAGAAGAATTATGACGCCTGATAGTAAATCCGAGATTCTTCGGAAGCTACAAGGCCGATGCCCCTTCTGACAGCCGGAGCAACAATTTTTATAGATACATGGAATGTTTGGAAAATGTGGGTAACTGGGAGAATCAATCAAACAGCTACAGAAATGAGGAGATAAAACGTGGCGATTCTTGGAATACGTGAAACCCATTATACCCAAGCTGGACTGAAAAAGTTAGATTTAGGAGAGACGCTGTTGTACTCTGATCACAAAGAAGAAAATGCTTCACACACTCACGGAGTTGCTCTGATGCTGTCCAAAGAAGCACGTAAAGCGTTTATAGGATGAAAATATCATGGATTCAGGGTCACCAAAGCATTCTTCAAAACAAAGAAGGAGGGAATCACAATTAATGTTATCCAATGCTACGTGCCACTAATGATAGCAACAACGAAGATAAAGATCATTTTCACGAGAGGCTGCAAACGATCATGGCGAAATATCCAGGAAAGGACCAAACAATCCGGATGAGAGGTCTAAACGCCAAAGTCGGGACGGACAACACCAGATATGAAGATATTATGGAACGAAATGGACTGATTGGGAGAGAGAAACGGAAACGGTGACAGATTTGCAAGCCTTTGTGCATTCAACAAAATGGTTATAGGCGGCACAATATTCCTACACAAACGCATACGCAAAGCTACATTGGTCTCACCGGATCACCCCACGGAGAACCAGATAGACCATATTTATGTCACTAAAAATTCAGAAGAACAATAGAAGAAGTGAGAACCAAGAGAGGAGCTGACGTAGCTTCAGATCATCACCTGGTGGTTACCAAGATGAAACTGAAGAAACAGTATTACGAAGTTTTAATACGGCCTTCCTTCGACCTACTGACAAATTCAAACCAATTCAAGGTATCCCTCAACAATAGGTTCCAAGCCTTAAAAGATCGACCGAAAGAAAAAGTAACTAGGGCGGTGGACAAGTGCGAAGGGATCAAAGAAGCACTAACTTAAAAGTGTCAGGATGTTCTGAGCTGCAAGAAACATCATCATAAGGAATGCATCTCTATATGAAACCCTGGACATGATTCAAGAAAGCAAGAACAGGACAGCAACTAACGACATCCGAACAAGAACAGAGAAAGTCTTGGCACAGGCTGAATACACAGAAGCGAACAAGTGAAGAGCTGACAAGCAGAAATACGTGGAAGACCTAGCAACGACAGTGGAAAAGCTGCAAGCGAAGGAAATATGAAGCGACTATATGACACGACAAAGAAACTAACAGAGGAACATAGTGAACCATAGAGACCGGTCAAGGACGAAGAAGGCAAGCCAATCATTGAAATTCAAGGACAAAGGAAAAATGGAGTAGAATATTTTGAGGAACTCTTCAATAGACCATCTTTACTGAAACCATCAGATATCAAAGCAGCACTTACAGGCCTTCCTATAGATGTCACTCAACCAACGATCAAAGGAACCAGGATGGATGTCAGACAATCCAAGTGTGGAAAAGTAGCAGGACATGATCATATACCAGCCAAAGCACTGTAGTCGGACACAGAAGCAAATGCAAACGTGCTCCATGTTCTGTTCAGGAAGATTTGGGAGGAAGAAGAAGTACCGATAAACTGAAAACAAGGGTATTTCCTCGCGATACAAAAGAAAGGATATCTGAGCAAGTGTAAGAAAGCAAGATCCTCAAATGCGATAAGGAGAACACCAACCCAGTCACACCTTGATGGAGAAACTCTGGAAGGTGTGGAATCCTTCATGTACTTGGGAAGCATCACTGATGAACGAGGAAGATCGTATGCAGACGTAAAGGCAAGGATTGGCAAAGCAAAAGCATTATTCCTACAGTTGAACAATATATGGAACTCAAAACAACTCTCAGCCAACATCAAAGTCAGAATCTTCGATAAGAACGTCAAGATAGCTACACTGTACGGGGCTGAAACGTGGTGAACTACCACAACCATCATCAAACATGTACAAGTATTTGTCAACAATTGTTTACGCAAGTTACTCAACTCCTGTTGGCCGGGTACCATCACCAACAGTCTACTGTGGAAGAAAACAAACGAGCTTTGAACCGAAGTGGAATTCGTGAAAAGATATAGGAAGTAGATAGAACATAAATTGCGGAAATCCCCAAGCTGCATTATGAGGCAAACGCTAACTTGAAATTCTGAGAGGAAGAGGGCAAGAGGGAGACCAAGGAACACCTTCCATTGAGAATCGGAAGCAAACATGAAAAGGATCAATAGCAACTGCAAACAACTGGAAAGGATTGTCCAGGACGAAGTTGAATGGAGAGTGCTGGTGGCCAGCCCATGTTCCTCCACGAGGGGTAACAGGTCTAAGTTAGTAAGTAAGGTCGTTATTCCAACACAAAACTATCTTCTTTACCTGGTTTTATGACCAGTAGTAAACTTCAGCTTGCTCCAGACGGATTTGAGAGCAGTTCAATAGATATCAAATGTGTAAAATAATTCCTAGGAAAATATGATTAATATAAGGCTGGGATTATGTTGTACTGCTGTGGTGTATGCTATTCACATGGACATATATGACCAGTATTGATAAGAATTTAGAAATGGGATTATTACTGATAAAAGAAAAACATTAGAAGAGAAAGAAAACATAAGATGTCCAAATAACAGAATGAATGGAAGAATCATGGAGTTTGTAAGAGACAGTTCAAGGAGGTCGTGCTAATTAAGTACTCAATGTATTGTCTTCATATTTTACAAGTTCAGTGTATGGTATTGTTTGATAGAAAAAATTGGTTTGCGCCACCCAAGTCTTCGTTCATTACATTGCTTTAAGATATTGTGGATGAAAATATATGCACTAATTGATATTAATGAAAGTAAGAATATCCTCAAGAAGTAGTCTGAATTTCATTATAGTTGTTACTTGGTAAAAATAAGTGATGTTTTAACACGTCAGCTAAATGGTTTATAGTGCGCTTGGTAATAACTAAAGAATAACAACATTAACAATACCTCTAGATGTCGGACTATATTTCATTGCCTGTCCCTTCAATAAGCCAATTTTACTCGATTTTGTTACGTCCTCTACTTAATTACAGCAAAATAGGGTACACAGCGGACGGTAATCGAACATGTAGAACCTCAAGAGTCGTAAATCAAAGGGCGGAAGAATCGAGAGGAGAGACTACTGTATAAGAGCCACAAATTTACAAAAAAATGGTTGTGTGTATAGTTTTTAGGATCGGCTTTAACATCACTATTATTCAGTCAATCCGCAAGGAGTAAAGTCATGCAATTATCAACTTCTGATTGGACGGAATCTCTTCAGCTCCTTTAGAAACTCTGGAGTCTTCGTCATGCTTTTCGGAGCCATCCTAACAGCTCTGAAATAAAATGATAACAAATACTTAACTTATGTAATATTGAGTCATATCATGCGAAAATTGCCTGGCCTGATTCAACTTACCTGGTGGCTAAATTGCTCTACTCCCTTGGTTACCTCAAAGAACAGATGTAGGTTTACCCAAATAATGTCGTATATTTGGTAGAACAAAACAGAATAGTATATAATAAGTTTTGTTGGTTGTTTAAAATAACTGATTTAAATAGTCAAATATATATTGACCTATATTTACACAATCAAAATCAACATTAAAAACCTAGAAGCACTGAACAACATTAAGACAACATTTTAAATGTTTACAATATTTTATAAAAATCAATAATTTCAATTAATTGATAAATAATCAATAAAATCTATACTTAATCATCATTATAATCATCAATTAATGTTGGATGAAATAATAAAGCTGATAATAAAATTGTAATAAAATATAAAATAAAAAATATTCTATCTAATACAATACCAACTATTTTCCATTGTTCAATAATTTTTTGTTTAAATTCACGTTGTTTTAATTCAATTAATAATTGTCTAGCAGCTTTTGTTATATAATCAATATCATTTTTAATATATTTTAATGATTGATAATTTTTTTGTTTATTATTTATTGAAATTAAATTAAAATTAATTGGATAATAATTTTTTAATTTGGAATTCGATTTAAATAAAATTTGATTTTGTTTATTTTTTTTAAAAAATTTATTCCAATAAAGTGATTTTGAACATTTCTGTATTTTTGTATTATTATTATTATTATTATTATTATTATTATGTTTAAATTTAAATGGTGTTTGATTTAAATGAGGATAATAATGTTCATTATTCCATTTGTTTAAATCATTTATATTTTCAATAGGATACTCATTTAAATAATCGAATCGAATCATTTGATCATTTGAATATGTATTTATTGGTAATGAATAATTTGAATTAGATAATTCTGTATTCGATAATATATTATTATGCATATTATTTTGATCATTTGATATATCATTAGTACTTAAATAACATAATGGAGAAGATATTTGTTTAAAATAATGACATGAACAAACTGGAAGTTTAAATGAATCATGAGGTTTGTTTATATTATTGTTATTAGTTTTACTATTCACTGATTCATAATGAAGTGGATATAATTTTGTAGTGTTTAATTCAACTGTACAATGTGGACATTGTTGACTAGAATTTCTAAAATCATTTTGAAGTGTATCATTGTGTAGGTAATCGTAAGTTGATGATGATGATGATGATGCTGATGATGTTGAACTAGAAGATTTTGATACAGATGATGAAACGATTTCAGTTAAGTCATTTAAACTACGATGTGGATAAATATTGGAATTATTGAATTGTTTACTAGAATTACTTACATGAGATGATATTTTAACAGATTTTTGTGCTGATCGATGTAAACATAAATTCATTTCTAAATTGTCGTTTGTTTCAACTAATTCAAGTGCATCGATGTTAATAAAAAGTATTCGTCCCATCAATGAAGTGAACTGTTAGAAGAAACAAAAAAACTGCATATCATTTTAAAACAGAAAACCATAAACGGTAATAGGACATAAGTATGAGTATTGAGTTATGTTGAACGAAAACCATGGTATGTGACCGATAAGGTTGAATCCAGTGTTTCACATTTAAACAAAATAAATATAATTCAGAGAAGGAAATTTTATTTTCCATGATGTTATCTACTGGATGGAGCTACACAATCGTATTTACACATTACAGTCTTAAATAAAATAGGTAATTATTGCGTTATTAACAGATGAATTACAGTTGGTTCAAATTTTAAGTCATGTAATGGCCAAAGGGTGATAAGAATGAAAAAAACATATAAAAGTGAGATAAACAAGATTATCCACTTGATAAAAATAAGTGTCACATTTTCAGATAAGTCTATTCACCAATTAGTTAAATCATAACAGAATATCATCGATTAGCAATCACTCAACCGTTAAGACCGATAAAGCTACTGGACATGGAGATAATCAATCACTTGGTTCGAGAATTCAGCGTAAAGGTGATAAGTTTTTTAAAACAAATATTTGACAAGAAAACTGAATTATCTGGTGTATGTTACACAATATGATTCTGAAATCTAAATTAGAAAACCCACAAAAATAATACTACTGGTATGTTCGCTACCAAATGACTCAAACTTGAGCTGTAAGTCATACTTAAAGTAAGAACTAATCTTAATGTTTGGATCAGAGAGGTTTGGGATCTCCTAAACACAATCTACTCTTTAAATAATTTCTTGATCTACTTTTTTTCAGTTCATGATGTCCTTTTTTTCAACTTGTTTTAATGATTTATTTCTGTATTTTACCATACTGTAAATTTTTTGCTATTGTTATTATGTTCGATCATACTATGTAATTAAACTTATCGGCGAGACTAAAATTTATGGACGAACTAGTCAGATTTAAGACAACAGGTCTTGGATTTTGACGCGTAATTCATTCATCCATTTGGCTAAATAGCCTTTCGGCATTTTAGCTGATGTCAGTTCGTGATGAAAAGCTTAGAATCTAATTCCTAACCCTAACCACTAACTATAAATCATAATCTACATTCTTACTACAGGTTTATAAACCTAGTAAGTGAGTCGACATTCTCAAGATTACTTTAGTGTTGCTCAAAGGTTGTCTATATATTATAGCCTCACCAAAACTTGAATTGCAATGATCGCATCAATCTTGGACATAAACTAAACAATTTTCAGTGGTTAGAAAGTTTCAACACAAATTTAATCTTTTTCGTCCTGAAAATTTTGGTATCCTCACTCTTTTAGTATCTTATATTCCTATATAATTCCACTAATAGTACCGTAAAACTGATAGATTTTCCCTTCAAAGTTGTTATTAAGAACAATAATATTTTGTGTTATTTCTGACTACTATAAAATTGTGCGTAAAATGAAATATTGTAAAAAATGGGGGGTTATGGAGATTGTAGTAATTTTAATAGTTGAATTCATGAGTCTATTTAAGCTAGACCATCATTGAAAAGGATTGGATGTCATTTCGTTCTAGTATAGGACTCCTCAGTAGTGCACATCTATTATTCAGGATCTTAGAGCTTAAATCAACTCATGAATTCAATGATTAAAATGAAATATTTCACTAGTTTTTAACTTCTAATTTGTTTGAGACGTTAAAAGTTTCACAATACCAAATTTGACTTCATTTTAAGTAGTGTAAATAATCTAAGAAAAAAAAGTAAAAAGATTGTTTGATAATCCTTCATCTAAGCTTATTTCTAGCTATTATTGATTCATGATAAAAATAATTTTCAAGCTATAAGCCATTTGTTTGTTTATGGTGATTCAAGTAACATTCATAATGGAATACGGCTTTATAACATTGTGACATAAATGATTATTTATTAAATTATGAGCAACAAACATTTTGGAATGAAATAAACCCGTGTACTTCGATGTACTTTGAATATTCCGAATAAGTACTGATTCCATGAATAAGATGTGAATTTTTTACAGATGTTTTATGAGAAACATGTATAAAATTAGCTTAATTTACCAGTATGGAAAAATCATAAATGTCTCCCATGATCATTCAATTCAGTTTATGTAGAATTAGGGTAAAAGTTGGAGAGTTCATGAAGTAACTTTCTAACAGAACCATATGAAAAATGATGTTTGTATGGCATAAAAAATTGATAAAACTAACAAATAGCCTTCCAAAGCACTTTCATCTTTTACATTGTTGCATTTAATTATACATAATCTCAAAATAATCGTAGTGTCGGTTGCTATGTTAAGCCCATATACCTTATTCTAGCTTTCAGACAGGCCAGTCTATTCATTCTACTCGAGTCACATTTTGACCTTGTTAATTATTTACTTATCAACCTTGACTATTTTTTTGTAAGCTTATGTGTGTCCCCTTCTTATCCCATTCATCTCATGTTTGTAGCTTATTTTTGTGTGACTATAAATATCGATTAGCGCTTGATTAAATGGAGTTGGCGCACACGCCTTCTTCACTGCACGTCATTTCGTTTCGCTCTTTCCTATTCGCTTTGTCCTTCTGATTGTCTGTTCGGACCAATGATTCTACTATATATATACATATATATATATATATATATATATATATATATATATATATATATATATATTAAAATCCATTCTCGTACTTGGCTTATTTAATTCCGTTATTCACCAATGCTATTTAAGTCGACAATTATATACGAGGAATGACGATATGTATATCGCAATAGCAATCAGAAACGATCAAACTGGTTTCAGATCTCGGGTCACTAAATACTTATCACTTTTAAAGGGCTTACCAACTATTAACTGAACAAGGTTTGAAATTTTTTGAAAAATTAATTATAACAGTCCTACATAATTATGGAATGAGATTGATATTTTCAGTTAACTACAGTTCATCATAACGAAACAAAGGTATATTAAGTTAAAACTATTCTGGCTATGAAGGAATTATATAATTCAGAAATTATAGTTTGTTCGTGAAAAGAGAAGTTAATTTTAAACTGTATATAACAAATGCATGTTATATTACCAAGTTGATTTATATTTTCCCATAGATAGAAGATTTAGTTAGAATTCATCAAATTCCATTTTAACCACCATATAGATTGATAACTGACAATTGTGATAAATACTAAGCAATTGAAGCTAGACCACCATGGAAAACCTGGAAACACTGGACGGCCGTTTCGTCCTAGTATGGGACTACTCAGCAGTGCCCATCCACGATCCCGCACCCAGCGGGATTCGAACCCCGGACCTAATAGTCTCGCGCGCGAGCGCTTAACCACTAGACCAACGGTGTTAATGTCTAACTCCAACCAATCCTAAATGTCTACTTGTATCTTTTGAATAAAGTTTGCCCATAACTTCATAATAGACAAAAGTTTGAATTTTATAGGTTTTGATGTTTGGTTAACAACTTATAGAAATTTCTTAAAACAAAGATGTTTTCAACAATAAAAATAGTCACTTTTTCTTCCTTATTCAAAGAACAATTAAAATGTAATCCGTGGGGCTTTTGGATAACCTTAAAGTCTGTTGTTATTATCAAGTTAACAAATTTACTTCATTTATACATTAAAATATAAATGTGTATTAACTGTGAAATGATTCTGTAAACGATTTTCAACGTTCTGAAAATATCTGTCAGTGAACTAAGTTTCCTGTCATAATACCTCAATTTTTTATGATTGTTTTTTTAGAAAAGACAAAAACTGATTTGAATGTGAATATACATGGTTATTATAATAATAGGGAGGTCAATTCATCCAGAATAGAGTTTCTTCTCAAGTTACTTATCTTGCCTAAACACTACTTCAAATAGTAATAATATATGACTGTCATAAATAATAATCCATGTAATATCCCCCCAAATAAAAGTCATTCAATGGAGACAATGTATAAAATAACAAAGTATAGCTCATTTTGTTTTTTGAAATCATTGTTTCCTTGATAAGATTGTATATATATTACCCCCATTGTCTTTCACTACATAGTTATTATTATCTACGTATTTTTGTGAATAATTTAAGGATGAAACAACAATAGTTACACCCACTTCCTGTTTAGATTATTATTATTATTAGTAGTAGTATAAATATATACAATTTCAAATGAATCTTTATGCCAAAGAATATAATTTTGTTAGATATATTCATGACTACTATCACAACTAACTATTTGTTTACATACATTGATGTTTGTTATAACACATTATTGTTAATTGTTTATAAAGAATATCTTATTATTATTTAGTATTCTCTTGAAAAAATAGTCTATTCAAAACTATTATAATTTCACAATAGAATTGTAAAAACTATATAAGTAGTATATATTTTGTTTTAAAAGATGAATTGAGTATTAATTTAGTTGTTATTCAATAACCTATATAAATGACATTTTAATACATTGATTATACGTTAAAATTGATTATTTAGTTATATGTTCTCTGAAGAAGTGGCTTACACCAAGTCACGAAACGTCAGAAAATCTAATTTTTCTACTCATTGGGATATTACAAACATATTAATTTATTTATAAAATTAATTATGTTTAATCCTCTCTTGGCGATTCTAAAAACAATAAACTGTCGATGATAATATTTTTATTGAGAAAAGCATGTAAGAAGTTTGGTAGTTCTGAATGCTTCATTAAAAAGTATGCAATCAAAAAAGCCAAATATTATCAGCAAAGATAGATGGTAGCTAGAAGTGGAAACCAGGACCCGCGTTTCGTCCTATTTGAGACTCGTCAGCTGAATCAACCTGTATCTCAAAGTGTCCAGGAGTGAACATCGACTCTGATATGTAGATACATCTAGCTGAAGAGTCCCAAAGAGTGTGAAACGCGTGTCCTGAATTCCATTTTTAGCCACCATCCATCTTTGCTCATAATATTTGTGACTTAAGGCAATCCGCACAGGATGCACATACGTCAACAAGAGACTGATCAATTGCAGTCTTAAACATCAATGGG